CTACAAGAAAGGTCTCATGCAATTTTCCCGTAGATTCAACGGTTTAGGAGTAATTAAGGAAAAATGAAATTTTTTGCCAAAAGTTCGCCGTTTCGACGGTGGGACGGTCGGATTTTGTCAAAATCAATAAAATGCCAAATAATCATATGTAACTCGTTAAATATCGAAGTTAGAAGGAAAACAACTTTTATTTGAAGCATTTTTCGCAATTTTGAAAAAAAGAAATTTTCGTCAGCGTCAATACTTAATTGGATATTTCCTTCTATACTTTTTAGCACGTAGCTATTTATTATTAGCATTATTCTTCCGACGTCTGATTTCTTTTTAATTATAGGAAATGCGTTTTTCTAAGCTACATAAACTTTTGGAATAAGATAGTGTTAAAAAGATTCCCCATCTCTGCCCTGGAGGAAACTAAACAAACCCAAGCTGGCTCAGTTTCATTTTTACTAACTGTACAACGAAAAGTGTTAAGAATTTCCACTTGCTGGCCTCTCATTGGCCGGTATTCAGAGTCGTTGCTTATTCTTAAGATCGTCTTAAGCATTTCCTATCCCTGTCTATCCCATATTTCCAGTCCCTGTTGTGTAAACAGGAAACAGGGACTTAAGTAAATGCTTAAGACGATCTTAAAAGTAAGTAACGACTCTGAATACCGGATATTGATTAGTATTAAAACGACGATTCTTATTTTGTATCCAATTTTATTATATTTATTAAATATTCGGCACATCCGGTTCGTAAATCTCATCTGTAATGCCACGAAATTATTTTCCTAGAGAATAGAATTTCATGGAGTTTGGTTTTCCCTGAGGAAAAAATCGAATCGTATTCCAGCGGCTGTAAAAGCCGACAGACCTGGCCGGTGGTTAATCTTGAAAATGTTGACCTCCGAGGTATAAAGGTTCCTGTTCAAATTAGATGGGCGGGGCTGAAAACCGTGAATACCAACCACCGGCCGCCATCTGCGAACCATCCCTCGTACGAACGAACTTGAAACTGCGAGGACCACGCCGCGCTCTAACTCCGCCGAAACGAAATCCTGTAGATTCTCCTATTCTTTTTTTCAAGATTCCTGTGTTGATCGATCACCAAACCGGGAAGAGTGAGCGGCCGTTCGTCCAAACTGGAAAATGTTACTGCTGAACGAGGAAAGATTTCTCTCGAGGGGATGAACTCTTGATTAAACAATTCCCATTCCTTTTTTATTCCTATTCAAGCCTGAGTTTTTAATTATAAAAAAATATAAGCCATTCCAACGTTCGTCTCTTGTGAAGTGATGCAATTAATTCCCAGAGATCTGAATGAAAATTTTACAGATAATATTTCGCATACTCGCGAAACTACCAAGTCCAGTTGGGAGGGAAAAATTGCTGGAGTGGTGAACTTCCGGCGGCGACAAGTTCCACGGGCGAAGAGGCGTCGCGAGAAATTCGGGGAGCTCGTGAATTCGCGCGGCCGTTAGTCAATGATGTATCTTCAGCCGCGCGTGTATGCGCGCCGCCGCTTCCACAGAGAGGCGGACTTCGCCCTAGATATCCGAGCCCTGCGGCACCCCGGGGCCGGGTTTCCGCGCATTATTCCTCTGGGTCGCCAGAGAGTCGCGCGCGTAAAGTCCGGGAGAATAATTACGAGTTCCCCATTGAATCCGGAATATGCGCCTAAACAACGCTCGAAACAGCCGCATTGCGATTCGATGATTAATTCAATCCGCTTGTAATGCATACGTACTGATCTACGGGGACGCGTGGCGTTTCGATTGTTTCAAGCAGATGACGGCAGAGATCAAAGGTTCCTTCAGAGAATTCACCTTCGATGTAACAAAATTAAATTAATTTTCCAGATATTCGGATGTCTCCTATACTGATACCAAATTAGGTCTGATCAAAGATGATCAAAAGAGATGAAATCTGATTAGAAAAGCGAAAGGACCAGGTTGAGTGATGAATTAGCCATACGGACATGATGCCCTTTTATAGACAGGGATAGCAAAAGCTTAAGTATGTACAGGCTGTATACTTAACACTAGATNATATTGGTATATACTGAGTTTCAGTCTTTCTAGTGTTAAACGATGCTAGCATATTGAATCTATTATAATCTTTTGGAATTGACTATATAGCCAATACATCCTTAAGACGATCTCAAAAATAAATAACGACTCTGAATACCAGCAAATGAGTAATTTTTCTCTTTCCAGAAATTGTGACATTTTCTATACTGTTACCAAATTAGATCTGATCAAAGCTGATCAAAAGAGATGAAATCTGATTAGACACTCGCCTAATTGACATGATTCCCTGTTATCTTATTACCAAAACTGATAACCATAATTGTCATAATTTTAAACACTCGACATGCTAAATAAAATAGATCATTTCTATTCCACGTGGCTACGATTTACCGTAATACTTATAGTCCTAGAACGTTCGCGTTGATCGCGACGAAAATAGCGGTATTCTTTCTTAGCCCCCACGTTTGCACGTGCGCGCGAATGAATTTAGTTACGGCTCGTTAACAGCGGATAGTTCTCAGCCCCCCGTGAACCCGCACGGTTTATAAATCGTTAACTCTGCTGGCTGGCTCGTCGCAGGTGTTATATCACGATGTCTCGTTTAGAAAATGAAGCGAACGACTTACGCAAACTTTACTCTATTAACACGCCTCGCTCATTTAACGACGTCTCCCATAAGGCGATCGCGTTATAATTCTAACACAGCCTGGCTTGGGACGTTCGCTCGCGATGTACATTCGCGATGTACTCGTCTTCTGTTATTTCCTCTGGTTGTCACACGTCTCCGGAGTGAAGAACATTACGCAGGGAGTATCGAGGCACCTCAGGTCCCTCACGTATCCCGATGGCAGCGGCATGGGGGTGAATAATTCGTTTTTCCCGAGTCCTCGAATTATTCCATTGAATCGTTGAGTGATTCGAACGTGTGCAGATATTCTTCGCCCTGGGAGTGCCACTCGACATTCCTAACAAGTCGGTGCTATTCTCTTTGTACTTCGAGGCGAACTACGCCCTTCCTGGCGACCTGAACTCTACTTACTACCTCGAAGATCCCTACCTGCAGAAGCGGAGTTTGGACCGGCGCCTGGCTTACGACGTCCTCGTGAACAAATTGACAAGGTGACCGGCTGCAAATATAATTGATTTAATCTCGGGTGAACGAAAGTTTGACGAATTTTGTAGCTTCGGTTACTCCGGGGAAAATTGCCTACTGAAAATGATCTGCGAGGTCGCCAACTATCCTTTAACTAGCAACGGGGTCCTCGGCGATGTTCTGCAAATTTTATTTACGTGAGTATTACCGTGGAGTTTTTAAACCGCGTTTGCTTTGGGCAATACAGGTATATACTAAGTTTCAGTCTTTCTAGTGTTAATGTAAACGAAGACCCTTTCTAATTCTACTTATTTCCATGGATCGTTTAAACTGGATTAAAAAGAAGCTGAGTACATAAAAAATCACAATGACCAATACAGGGCGTCCCAGAGTATTTCTGAGCAACAATTTCCTTTGTTAAAATGCAAAATGAGCGATGATTTTTGAATTATTAACGAAAAACACTGACCAATGAGAGCACGCGTTTTTATTTCATCCACGAATGAGGAACCACGCCTTCCTTCGGTTATATCATATTTATTGAATCGACTAAATACATTTTAAGGAACTTATTTAAATGTAAATTGAAATTCATTCTAATTCTACTTACTTGCATTAAAACTCTATCAAAAACAACTCTAATAATTAAGTACTTACATGCACGTATAACTAAATGTATAAAAGAATTTAGCGAAATGAAAGTAACTTCCGATTGGCATGATGACAATTAACTTTTACTGCGGCAATATACACAGACGATGATGATCAACAGCATAAATAGTGATAGACAACGTGCGTCACGTTAACGACAGATTAATCGGACCGAATGCAATTCTATGCATTGTTCAAGAATTAAGAGTATTCTCGTTCAATTGGTGAAACCCATCGAGGATGGAAACTCGTTTCCCTCGAACGAGAAATAGTTTTTAAATATAAACGTTACTTCAATTCTCTTCTAGTTTCTTCAGTAAAATTGGCAAATTTTGGTCTTCTTTCCTCGTGCGGATGTCCCGTAGATAGTGAGACATATTTTCGTACACCACAAACGTGATCACTGTCGCTGGCGTCACTCTGATCAGGTTCGCGCTCAGACCCTTGTAAAATCCACGCCACCCCTCATACCTGCAATTAACCACCAGCAATACCCTTTGGTTAATTCAAGAGCGGAAATAAAACAAAGAGCTATAAATAACAAAGCTAGAGTAATTCGTTTTTTCATTTCGGTGAAACAATTTTTTAGAAACGAACCCCTGTCGTCTATTTAAAACGCACTTACAGCCCTCTTATTTTCGCTCTTTAATTACTCGCCCACTTTCATTGCTAATTTCCCGCAATTCTATTCAATCGTCTGACGATACACGTCCTCATTCGCACTGAACCGGCGTACGATTCTTGTCGTGTTTCATTTTTTAAGTACTCAACGTCGAAGGCAATCGTACGTCACACATTTCGCGCGAATTTATTTAAGGATAAAGGAAAGGAAAATAGCGATTCTCTATTATATTTATTTCGCACTCAGATGGTCTCATCTCTATTTACATAAATCATGCGTTTATACGTCCAAAAATCGTACTGCTGGTGGTTTAACAAACTAATCGCAATTACATTCGAGTCACGTTTCGTTCATACACAACAGACATCGTCCTCCCTTTATTATCATTATCATCATTATCATTATTATTATTATTCTCGTGCCTTTTTAAGTGTGCTGCTCGTGGTCCCGCCACGGCGCTTAGCTTACTCATACGTAAAAGAAAAGTGATCGAAGTTTGCATTTGAAAATGATCGGCCGATTCCAAGAACAATCTGCACGTAAACCTAATCTTTTAGGATTGCTCTAGAAACGTTTCTAAGATCTAATTTTCTGCACAACCGTCGAAAGCAACTTGCTAATGAATAGACGAGCAGCTAAATTATTTTCACCAGCTATAAGACACAATTAAGTATGTCCGATCGAAATGCTATGAATATTTCTTAATAAATTTCAGTTTACTACCGTCAGGAGTTCGTAATGGTTATTACAAATTTTATTCGGGTAGCAAACTCTACGACGGACTTTTTGCAACGCTGGTTAATCGAGATCAGGTATTATCCCGTACAGAAATATAACGACAAACATATAGATAACAATTAGAGTTGTAGACAATTATTACACTCCTACGCACACGGGAATTATTAATTAATTGGGAGCCTATAATCAACAACAGGCGTGACTGCACGACCACGCGAGGAGCTTTCGTGCGCTCGTATAATTGTGTCCTTTTCAAACTGTCCAGTGAGAATGATTGAATTGTATTTCGAATCAGGATATTCGACGATACCTCTTCCAGCAGAAAGCGTATCTAAATATTTCATAATTCTAATGAAATCGGGCAAACAGGGTTCCACAGCTTACGAATTTCAACTGAATTAAAAAATACACAATGTTCAGATCGCTAGTTTCAGTATTATTGAGAATTCTAAGAAGTTGTACATATTAAAAACGTAAATTCGATACAAGATTGAATTTTTATTGAAAACTTTTTCAGTTGAGGAAGTCAAGACGAAAAACAAAATCGCTTCTGATTCATCCGGATGGATCAATCCGTTTCAGAGATATATCCAAAGCTTAGACGCAGCATTCGACACAGTCTAGTTACGCGTATTAATTAGAAGTCCGAATTGATTAATCAACGTGCGAAAAGTACAACAAAAATTATAGTCGCACGACTATATCTCCGGAACGGAAAGTCGCATCGAGACGAGCCAAGCGGCATTTTTTTAAAGAAGAGGCTTTTCCGCTCCGAACATCGCAAGTTTCATCCGTTTATGGTTATTTATTTACTGCAAAGTTATGGACCATCAAACTTTTACGTCCTCTTTTTAACCCTCCGTCTATCGCGCCTGAACATCTCGTCTCGCGGGAGATAAAGTACGTTCACTGCTCTACGCAAAAACTGCTAGGATTTAAACTATAATTGCTCTAATTGTAAGTAAACGTAGCCGATGCATCAGCAGTCCTCGCGAGCTGACAGTCAAAGGATCGACGAGAAGTGAAGGAGGATAGAACGTAGATCCATGATCAGATATGATGCGCTTTAATTAGCCGGAGGGTTAAACGAATTTTGCTACGGATAATATCAATTGATGCTAATTACCACTATCTACAATAGTCGTTCGTTAGAAAATATTTAAATACACCTGACACGTTAAGTAGCAGCCCGATAGGAAATTGATCAGAAAAATAGGTTCGATCTTCTTAACACTTAAACTTTCTCGCAATCCACCGAAATGATTTAACGTGGCCAAGCGTGGAATAAATAAAATAAACGTATAAATTATATATATATTAAAAATAATATTGACATATATCGCTTTCCCGGTTACTTCGAGGATAAAATCGTCTATCTCCCATTGTACGAAAAAATCGCTTATGCACAACCTCGAGATTGTGTTTCGAATACGGGATTAAAAATAAATTAAACGCTTCTACCTACAACATCGAGGCATTCGTGGCTTGAAGACTTCGATTGATTACTATTCTTAAGAACAATCAAATTCTGGTATAGAATTATTCGTTACGTAAAGGTACTTCGTTAAAAAGATCCCAGAAAAATTCACCGAATGGTTTTACGACCATCGTGGAGATTGTATCGATCGGATTAAAACATCGCTAAATGCCAATGAAAATTAGAAGAGTGACAGACTGACTGATATCGACGTGTTGAAAAATGTGATCGCGAGAATTACATTTTTCTAATACTGTTGGAACTGTTTTCTTTTTCACCCGATTGACAGAACGACAAAAGAGACGAAATCGTTCGATAAAGAATAGAAAAAAGAATATGGGCTGGGAAAAATCGAATCGAATATCAAAAGAGAAATCTATATCTCGAAACGAATTGTAGAATATGTTCTTTGCGTTTGCTCTGTAGTAGAAAAATTGTTTAGATTAATATAATCTAAAGAATCATTGATTCGAATCAGAGTCTGTGTTAGCAAAGGTTTCATAAATTACGATAATTAAACAAATGTTCGGTGTAACGTGTATAAGGTACGGCGATAAGCCTCTATAAAAACCCTTAAACCCGTCTGACCTCCATATCGATTTAATGCAATGGCAGGTGCCATCGTAGTGGTGGTGGTGATCTTGAAGCCGAGCTCTGATCACTTGGTAAGGGTAAGTCGTTGCCGCGGCGATCAGCTTCGACACTGCCGCGAAAAATATGTATTCCATGGTGCTCTGTAAATGAAAATACATTTTCTATGATGCCCTTCTCGCGTTACATAAATTATATTAATAGTAGTCGTGCATAAAATATTCTACTTACCATCTTCGTATCGATAGGTACGTTCAAGTATTGGTTATAGCGATTCTTCAAGTCTTCGTATACCATGAACTGAATCGCACCGTGCGAGACGCCGAATATCCCGGGAACGAAACCCTGTAAGCATGCAACACAATATAATATAAATACATTTCGAAATCTCGATCGAGACTTCGATTTATAGAACGAAAACGTTGCTTACCCGATACAATCCTCTGACGCCTTCGGTCCTATAAATTTTCCTAATTGCATCCGCCATACCGTTGTATCTAAGCGTTTCCGGAAGATTCTTGTCCTCCATGTATTGCAAACACAGTCGTGTCTTTACTACCCAAAGTGGATTCGTTATAACTAAAGTGAGGATGCCGGCGTCGGCTGCGGCGAACATGTGCATCGACGCACCCAAAGGCTTCTTGCTGTTGCCCCCTTGGATCCATGTCTTAATCGTATTGTAGCTGAATAAGAAAAATTATTCAATCAGTAACGATTGACACTATAAATGTTTACTAGTTCAAACGATTGAATGGATACTTACAAAAAGAAGTAGCAGCCCCACGCGCCACCTGATCCTAAAACGTTCGGCGTAACGCCTCTGTAAAGTCCTTTCAGTCCTTCGGTCCTGACTATTTGCACCACCGCGCTCTTCAAGCTCAAGTACTGCGGTCTCGTTTGTGAATGGCCGTCGTTAACTGTAACAAGAACGCGGATATCTTGTTTATTGAATGTAAGACAGACACAGTCATTTCTGAATGCTACCATTGTCCGATAAGCTACGAATAACTTTTCGTTCGCCACGCAATAATAATGAGACTAGACGATAAAGAATTTTTCCAGTGGCGCGTGCGACGACTTATCTGACTCGTTACCAGCCGGAGTCCTAAGAAAATAACTTGATTTACATTTTATTCACCTTCACTGTTAGAACAGTTTTACTTTTACGTAGCTCTCGTTAATATTGATTCAGCTCTGAATCAAATAAGATCCTGACTTCAATCTTTGTACGAAAAATATTTATCATGATAAGCTGCTGTTTATGAACGTGTTGCACAGGATGGCACGATAAATTCTCAATAATAAAATGAGGAACTTGTTTGCGTGTTGCACTCTCGTAGGAAGAAATCGATAAACAATTAAAACTCGAACAGACTACTACGTATGCAAAGTCTATCAATTTCCCTGACTGAGAATATTACGTAACAATGCGGTAGAGATTCTTTTCAATCTTTTTGAGACGTAAGACTGCCTAATTAATTTATAAAAATAGCTAGCAAATGTGAGTCAGAGACGTGAAACATGCATCGTCATTCGAAGGTATTAGCAAGACAATTTTTTCTGTAAGTTTTAATCACGCAAGGAAAGCGTTAAAATGCAATCTCGTCGGATTCACGTGCTTCTGACGCAATCCGTGGAATTTCTTGCTCTTTGGTAAGTAGCCAACGAATTTTACGACGAACATAACAGCAAACGGTCTCACTCCCGACATCGACGGTGATAACGAGATCAGAAGCTATTTTATATCAACCTTTTTCAAACGCTTATCATTCTGTATCTTCAATGCTACTTCCAAGTTCAATCGCCAAATCCAAAGAGCGGTCTGCGTCCAGAACTGTAAACATAGCGAAGTTATTTGAATCTAAGAATTCTAATTATACTTTCACGTGATTTCATTCAGTGAACGCTAGCGGTGCTAATTTAGAGGAATGACGCCAAATCCTTTGCGGTCGATCCAAAATAAATAGTCAGCGTTAAACATGAAGAGAACAATACACCCGTTCCCTGAATTGTATTGAATAACAGTAGCGATAACCGAACCGATAACGAGCGATCCTTAAACAATCTGCATTCGTAGGCATAACGAAAATGAATCATTTTTCGTAGCAATAATAACGGCGAGGAAATTATAATTTACAGGCGAGAGGCCCGTCCACTTTCCATTTCTAAATACGATCGAAAGTTGGCCATGACTTTCCATTTTATTTCGCGACGTGAACTCGGCATCCTTGGTAGAACTTTTACACTCACATGCGAAACCTTGACTGAAATCAATCGATTTCCATACGTATCGCACGTGTCTGTTTTACAAGGTCGTTCAGTAAAATCAGTACGAGGTTTATTTATTAATTTCGACAACCCGATGTTGACTCAAAGAAAAACTTGTGACCTAATATTTCACGGCCTTATTTATTTTTGTACTAATTTACTGTCGCCCTGAATTGTTTTACTTAAAAATTCTAGTCACTTCGTTTATTAAAATCAGTGCAAGGTTTATACTTTAAAGAAGATGATGTTGATTTAAAGAAAAACTGTATCAGGGAACTTGTAACCTTCTAATACTTCACGGCCTTATTTATCTTTATACTAATTTACTATCGTCATAAACTGTTCTATTTATAAAACAATATGTATCTTAATTCTAGTCATTATTTATTTCTAGTGGACATAGAAGCGTTTTAAACGTTAATGACCGAAGATAATGAATCAGACAAGTCGGAATTCGAGTCCACCTCGCCGACGTATTATCACAAGATTGAACTTGCTTTAAAAACGCTTTTGCCAAGTGTTATTTGACTACACCATTTGTTACTTAACTACCCAAATATGTGCGTTACTTGTCAATGATTCTATTATCAGCTCAAGATTAGAGATAGTATGTAGCAGGCACGTGCGCAGTTCAGGCGTAATGAAAAGGGGCATGGATTTAAAAAGTAATTCCAATCAATAAGAAATGTAAAAATAAACGAAATCAGTTTCACTGATATCTCGTAATATCGTAGGTAGATATTTGAAGAAAATAAATGAATTACCAATGAAAATTGAACCGTATACCTACCGCTTAACGAAATGCTTAAACAAGTAAATGTTTAAACAATTAATTGACTTGATTCACTGTTTACGTTGGCTAATTTCAGATATTTATTCTGAAAGTTTTCTCGCATGTCGGAACGTAACAAAAACTGAGATACCGAACCGACTCTTGAACTGTAGTTAGCAAACAATTCATCATCTCTCTTGATAGTCACGTGCTTTCTCATCTGACCTTATCACTAATGAAAAGATGAACAATTGACATCAACAGAAATTCACAGTTTCACACGTTTCTCATCGTATATATTTCACTTCACTCGTTCTATTATTCCAATCACTTAAAATACTAAAATATTTCTAATGATTGAACATACTCAACCTCTCGAAAGCGACCAAGCAAGATTATCAAAACTTTCGAGACGCTCAAGAATTCTGAGCTTCCAAACGAATTCAAAGTAGTTAAATCTTGAAAAACGTCAATCCATTTCGAAACTCGAATTCGAACGTTGAACGTCGCGAGCATATGATTCAGAGCAAAAGGGAATTTCCTGTGTGTTAATAGGTCGTGAACCACGTGTGCGGAAACCCGCCATTTGCATGGTAAGTATAACGACGCTGGTAAGTACATACCTGCAAATCTGGTCTTGATCAAATCCAACGGGTGAAGCATGAGCGTGGAGACCACGCCGCCGGATATACCGGCGACGAAATGCTCGTATCTGAAATGGCTCAGCATGGGAAGAACCCTGCTGTTCGCCGGCGTGGTGCTGGATTTCATCGCCGCCGACATGTTTTCTGTGACAAGCTCCTGCTGCTGCTGCTGCTGCTTCTGCTTCTGCTCGTTCGCTATCGATCCGTCAACGAAAAATCCACTCGCATCCTGCACGACGACGCTAGCAGCACTGACGTCCACTCTGCGGCATATCTCCTGATCGACAACAACAGGCAGGTTGTTGGATTCGCGTTAAAATTAAGCCACGGCCAATAACTATTTGCTCGTACGCACGGTTCCTCGACAAGACTCCTCCGTCTCGCTCGATGATCTCGATTCAATTATGCAACGGAACGAAACGTCACGAGCACCGTACACGACCATACTAAAGTGTTCGATTGACCGAGCGTCGCCACCGCTACTCAGCCCATGCGCGCTTGCCATCTTCAGGGGGAAAACTGAACCAGAATTCCCGTCGCGGGAATTTCAATATCGCCTTCGCTCATCGTATTTATTATTAATTCTATTATTGGACGAATTTTTTCAATATACAATAAGGAAACTGTAATTCCGTTGTTAATTGATAAAAAGAGATATGAGATGAATCGTATTTATGAATGATTTCCTTCCGACTACGAGGCGTCTCTGTTCGGGATTATTACTGATATTGATAAATGACTTTCGCGTAAATTAGATAACTGCGAAACTCGTTCAGCGATAAAATTGGAACCGCTTATCTCTGAGATTCGATAGGACAAGGTAAAGTGTAGTGGTTCTCGTCGATGAACGGATAACGATTTTTTTTAAACTCTTGTCACGATGAAATATCTTCAGTTGCCATTCTCACTCAACATTCGCTACACTGATTGATGAAACCCGCCATTTGCATGGTAAGTATAACGACGCTGGTAAGTACATACCTGCAAATCTGGTCTTGATCAAATCCAACGGGTGAAGCATGAGCGTGGAGACCACGCCGCCGGATATACCGGCGACGAAATGCTCGTATCTGAAATGGCTCAGCATGGGAAGAACCCTGCTGTTCGCCGGCGTGGTGCTGGATTTCATCGCCGCCGACATGTTTTCTGTGACAAGCTCCTGCTGCTGCTGCTGCTGCTTCTGCTTCTGCTCGTTCGCTATCGATCCGTCAACGAAAAATCCACTCGCATCCTGCACGACGACGCTAGCAGCACTGACGTCCACTCTGCGGCATATCTCCTGATCGACAACAACAGGCAGGTTGTTGGATTCGCGTTAAAATTAAGCCACGGCCAATAACTATTTGCTCGTACGCACGGTTCCTCGACAAGACTCCTCCGTCTCGCTCGATGATCTCGATTCAATTATGCAACGGAACGAAACGTCACGAGCACCGTACACGACCATACTAAAGTGTTCGATTGACCGAGCGTCGCCACCGCTACTCAGCCCATGCGCGCTTGCCATCTTCAGGGGGAAAACTGAACCAGAATTCCCGTCGCGGGAATTTCAATATCGCCTTCGCTCATCGTATTTATTATTAATTCTATTATTGGACGAATTTTTTCAATATACAATAAGGAAACTGTAATTCCGTTGTTAATTGATAAAAAGAGATATGAGATGAATCGTATTTATGAATGATTTCCTTCCGACTACGAGGCGTCTCTGTTCGGGATTATTACTGATATTGATAAATGACTTTCGCGTAAATTAGATAACTGCGAAACTCGTTCAGCGATAAAATTGGAACCGCTTATCTCTGAGATTCGATAGGACAAGGTAAAGTGTAGTGGTTCTCGTCGATGAACGGATAACGATTTTTTTTAAACTCTTGTCACGATGAAATATCTTCAGTTGCCATTCTCACTCAACATTCGCTACACTGATTGATTTAATTTATTCAATTTATTATTAGATCAGTAATAGGTAAGCTGGAGATTGTGATCTTGAGTATCGCGGAAAATCCGTATATCACGTCGTTAATTATTAATGAAAGTTTTCAATACCGGTTTTTAACATAGATTAAAATGTCATGAATATTCCAGTGGAATATGTTCTTGTGAAAATAGTTCATTTTACGAACACGTCGATAATTCATGAAGAGGAAACAAATGTTGTTTCAGACTTTTTTGTAGTTTAAGAATCATTTTTAAACATATTGTTATTTTACTTTGTAGTTTAAGAATCATTTTTAAACAGTTGTTAGTCAGTGAATAACACCAGTGCATCAGTAAAAAAGGGCGAAATCTGATTCAGGCGATTCAAGAGGGAAACAGGAAATTCTGGCATCCAATATCCCTTATAAAATTCATAAATGGTAAGAATATTTCTATTATTCAACAGATTAATTTCAATATTAAGCATCATAAAAATAAATCTAATCGATCTCGTTGCTTATCATTTAAAAATTAATCTAATCATTTAATCAACGAAAGTGTGCCCGATTAAAATGAACTCGCCTAATGAGTACTCCACATGAGGCATCGATTATTATTTCTAAAATTGAAGAAGGCCAAGTTTGCGAACAAATTCGGTATATTCGTTACAAGGTTTACAAAATACAGCTTAGAAAAATAAAAGATCGAATTATAAAATACAGTACAATTTTCCTCTTAAACAAACACCGATACAAATGATCTCTGACGTGCATGCGTAAATGATTAGCATCTTCCAGTGATTTCGCGGGCTTAGTTATACTTTGCACTTTGCACGTATCATCCGCGACTCGCCGCGACAGTGCTTGTCGCGACGTTTAAAATAACGATGTGGAATAATCATCGAAGGATTTACTCGCGTCATAAACAGACGCGCTGTCGCTATCTGTGCCTCCTGGTGAGTGCTGACCAGCAGTTTCCAGTGCGGATTGGAATTACGAAGGCCAAGAAGGATTTCGTTACGCGTCCGCTCCGATTACTCATCTCAACAGCTATTATCTATATTTCCATGTACTCCCTATTTTTAGATCTTCTATCTACTGGTTGACGTTAGATTAGCTTTCAGTCGAGTTTCATAGCCATCGCCATCATATCGTTGTACTCTTGTTGGTGAATAATGGTGCTTCCGGTCGCTGATGAAGACGAGGGTGCTCTCCCACCGTATACGATCTTTTCCAAAGGTACGCCCAGCGCCAACGATATTCTGTCCTTCACGTATGAGTATGGGCCCTGATTCTTGTGCTCCTCTTGCAACCACATAAACTAAACGAGTACTGTCTCTTAGTTCATTCGAAAGATAAACAATTTCAATATCACATTTGTGAAAAGTTCT